CCTTGACGATGCCGCACCGCGCTCCAATTCCGCCGCACGGGCAGCAGCTGTGTGGATCGCCTTGAATACCACAAGAAACGCCTCGACGCGCGCGCACAATTGCACCCCGCAGCCACCCATCATCATCCCCGTCATTGTCGTCGTCCAGCGTTGAGCGCATGTGGCGCGTTGCCCTTGTTATTGTTGTCGCGGCATGAGATATTGATTGTAGCTTGCTTTTGCAGTGGTACTGGCTACATCGGGTCCTTCACCACCCTCGCCCTCCTCGAGAACGGCTACGATGTCGTCATTGTCGATAGTCTCCTCAACTCGTCCCAGGCCGCCGTAGACCGCATCGAGCTTATTTGCGGCAAGCGTCCTACCTTCTACCAGGTCGACATCACAGACGAGGCCGGCCTCGACAATGTGTTTTCCAAGCACCCCGAGATCGACAGCGTTATTCACTTCGCCGCCCTCAAGGTACGTTGCATGTCTGCTGTTACCCGATGCCATGTCCGTTTTGTGTCTGCGCGGTGTGACCATTAGCTAACAATTGTCCCGTGCGGACCTGCAGGCCGTTGGCGAGTCTGGGGAAATCCCACTCGAGTACTACCGTGTCAATGTCGGCGGCAGCATCACCCTGCTCCGTTCCATGGCCAAGCACAATGTTCCCAACATTGTCTTCTCATCCTCCGCCACTGTCTATGGTGATGCCACCCGTGTCCCTGGCATGATTCCCATTCCCGAGAGCTGCCCCATTGGTCCCACCAACACATACGGTCATACCAAGGTGATGATCGAGACCGTCATTTCTGATCATATCGAGGCTGAGAGGAGGAAGGCCAAAAAGCGGGCAAGCCCTTCGAGCAATGGAACGGCGCTCTGCTCCGCTACTTCAACCCCTGCGGTGCTCACCCCAGCGGCATCATGGGTGAGGACCCCCAGGGTGTCCCTTACAACCTCTTGCCTTTGCTTGGCAAGGTAGCGACTGGAGAAAGGGACAAACTTTTGGTCTTTGGTGACGGTGAGTAGTCCCACCTGAATGAGGCAGTCTTGAACCAGATGACAGGATGCTAAACTTTATACAACAGACTACGCCTCCAAGGATGGCACTGCGATTCGCGACTACATCCACGTCCTCGACCTTGCCAGCGGTCACCTTGCCGCCCTCAACTACCTCCGCGAGAAGAAGCCTGGTGTCAAGGCTTGGAACCTCGGTTCCGGTCGTGGCAGCACGGTGTTCGAGATGATTAAGGCCTTCAGCAAGGTTGTTGGTCGTGACCTGCCCTACCAGGTTGTCGAGAGGAGACACGGCGACGTGTTGGATCTGACTGCCAACCCCGCGCTCGCCAACGAGGAGCTCAAGTGGAAGACAAAGCTCACCCTGGAGGACGCATGCGCCGATCTATGGCGCTGGGTGGAGAATAACCCCAAGGGTTACCGACAAGATCCGCCGGCCGAGCTCTTGGAGAAGCTCAAGGCCAGCAAGGCCGCCAAGAACTAAAAAAGAGGCTCTTGGGCTCTTATGTTGCTTTCACGACCACCTTTTTTGATCATTCACACGCATCACATTCTGGCTTCTATCGTTTTGGTGCTTCTGGGTCGCATCACACTGTTATAACAATTCCCCCTTTGGTTTATTCCCCCATTTTTTCTGTTACGACTGTGTTATGATTCCTTTCGCTACGTTGGCAGGTATTGCTCAAGTTCACGACACCCCCTCGATTATACGTAATCAACCTTCATAGATAGCATCTCATAGAAGAATTCGGAGGTGAAATTCTGCATGAATTCTACATGCCAGCATGTCTCCAATGTTCTTCATTATTATACTGTCAGGTTTTATTATGGTTGTGGGAGGAAGAAAATGCAAACTAAATTATGCCAGTTTCCATCAGACCTTCAACAACAGCTTGCCCGTGGTCTTTCTTCCCTCCAAATCGCTATGCGCACGCGCGACCTCCTCGAGGGGATAAACCTCATGGACCTTGATCTTGACCTTCTCAGACTTGATCAGCTCAAACAGCTCCGTCGTCCACCTCTCCCACTCCTCCGGCGTAACAATGTACCCGAACAGAACCGGCCTCATCACCTTTACGTTCTTGGCACCCAACCGCAAGATATCCAACGGATCCACCTTCCCGGACGCATTGCCAAAGCTCACAATCAACCCCTTCCTCGCGATAATCTCCAAATCCGCATCAAACGTCGCCTTACCCACGCCGTCAAAAATCACATCCACACCCTTCCCATTCGTAATATCCTTAACCCTCTCCACCACATTCTCGCTCTTGCTATCCACGGTCCACTGCGCGCCCGAGCACCGCGCCAGCTCGCATTTCTCCTTGCCACCAGCAGTAGCAATCACCTTGGCGCCCATAACGCTCAGGATCTGCACCAGCAGTGAACCCGTGCCGCCGGCGGCGGCGTGCACCAGCGTCCACGGGCCCTCGGAGATACCCAGCTTCTGCTCGATGCCCGCTGCTTCGCGCACAAACGTCAAGGCCGTGAGACCTTGCAGGAGGGCGGCGGCGGCGGTTTCCGAGGAAATCCTTTCGGGCAAGGGGCCGACGGCGCGCGCGGCGGAGACGGTGGTGTACTGCGCGTAGGTGGCGTCGCTGAGATAAACTACGCGGTCACCCGGAGAAAAGCGGGGGGACTTGGAAGCGACGACGGTGCCGGCGGCTTCTTTGCCGGTTATCAGCGGGTAGGAGCCAGTGGAGGGGGGGTAGAGGCCTGTTCGGAAGTAGCTTTTTAAGAAAGTTAGTTTGGGGAGTTTACTGGGGTGAAAGGTGGAAGAGGGGGGTAAACAAGACATACGTATCAATATAGTTAACACCAATGTACTCGTTCTTGACCAGGACTTCGCCCTCCTTGATTTCCGGGACGGGCAGGTCGGTCTTGTACTGGAGGACGTCGACACCGCCGGGCTTTTCGATGACGACGCCGGACATGGTCTTTGGGATTTCGGACGCCATTTTGGAATCTGTCTTTTAGTGATTTTGGCTTGGGAGCTGTGATAGTTTGCGCTGGTGGTTGGTGGGTGAGATGCTGCGGTGGTGTTCGGACGGATGAACGGCGCGGGGAACTTGTGATGGTGGTGGTGGTGGTGGTGGTGGTGGTGGTGGTGTAAATGCGGGGAAGCGGGAATTCGCGGCGGCGTTGGTGTTGCGGGAAGAGAGGAACGGTTCGTGAAAGTAGTAAAAGTAGCAAACCGACGGCGACGATGGGATGAACTTGAGGGGGTCAACAAGTTTAAAAGGGGAAGAACAACAAGCCAACTAGTACTACGACTCCGGTTGTGGACCGCGATGAGTGTTGATGGTGGAGATAATGTCGGTGTTTGCCATCATCGGTTTTGAATGTCTCGAACCTTGTTGGCCCCCTTGGTTCGGGTTGGCCCCACGACGACCCTATTCTAGAACGCGAGTTTTCATCATGCGGGCAGGTATGATACCGGTAAGGCTCTCAGCTCACACTGGACTGACTCGCCGGGTGAGAACGGAGAAAGGCGGGAGTCGTATCACGTCAATCTGTTGGTTTGAACGTGATGCGATATAAAGGTAACCACCAACAACTATCCTAAAAGGGCAGACCGAATCCTCTATATCCGACCGTTTCCAAACGAATGGTTCTGCGCTCTGTTGTTGACTGAGAGTCCATGTATTGCTTCGTCTATCCAATGCCGAACCGAACCGCATTGCGATATTTCGTACTGATAAAAGATAAGAGAGGCCGATGATGTAATCGAAGACACTAGAGGTACTTGTAGGTAAATATCGCGAAGCCGATCTGGACTCCTACCCGGTGTTAGTCGGCTTCGGATTGAACATCCAATCCTCATATTGCTTGCATAAAGAACATTTCGGACATTGATTGTTCATCCTATGGTAAGACGGAGTATCGGAGGAGAGCCAATATCAAATCCGGCAACATCTCTTTGAACGAGTCGCGGTGTGTCTTGGGTCCCTTCCGTCCTTCTTGGCGCTATTGTTCGGTATCGGAATCTCGGAGTGGAGAAGCTGGAGGGGAATGGATCCGCAGCTCCCGTCCGGATTGAACGTCGCTCCCCGTCGTCCATTTCCAACAACCTCAGTTCCGTTCTTTGTTCAAACCAACAATGACGGGTATCAGGGCTTGAAGTCGTGGTATACCTAGACGAGCGTCGGCGTCTGCTCATCCAGTCCATCTCTTGGACTAACCTAATATACTTCCTCGCCGGGCAAGACAAGACCACTTTTGGCCAGTGTTGCGATTGTGATCACTAACAATATCTGTGACTTGTACAGAAAAGCCCTCAGGTCACTCTGACATTGGACGTCGGGAGGCATATATCTTGTACTGCGCTGTAGCCGGTGCAAAAGCCTGTTAGTCTCGGCCAAGTGGCCGTGGTCCTGCACTAACAATTTCCCCAGCGTTATCGTATCTGCAGTCCGCCTTGTCGTTTTCCATCCCGTTCGTCTCTTTTTTTCTCTGGCGCCCACTTCTTCAGCTCAGGCACGGATGGCTTGAAGCTTTTCATCCTATCCATCAACCAAAACTCAAACGCCACGTCTCTTCGCAAGTCGCACACCTCACATCTCATCTGTCAGCTCGTGTTGGTCTGTGATGAATGCCTACCCATCCACAAGGCATCCAATTCCAATATGCCATCTCCCAACCGTGTGCATCGGATGCTTGCGCTCTGGCCTGCACTGCGGCATCAATGCACTCGTCAATGACAGGAGAATGACAAATCTCTAAATGGATTCCCAGATTCTTTGGATGAGCGGCAACAGATCATTGATAGACAGGGGCAGTACCTGGCACTAATAGAAGGGAAGCCGTGGTCTGAGTGGACAGAGCCCCGCGGCCATGCCCAGATATTTGAGGCTGTGCCACAAAGAGCCTCGCAAGCGTTTTGTTGATCATCGACTCTTGTCACTCCCCAAGCGCGCGTCCGCCACGAGAGGGGGAAAGACTGGCCGAGATCGCCTCTACACCACGCTAGAGACCCGGTAGGGATAGGCCGCGGCTCGCGGGTACTATCTTTGGACGACGGTGGCTTTCATTCATTCAGCTGCTCTCCGCCAAAGGTGCCTGATGAACCAATATGTGCTGGCCCGCACTGGGCTAGGAGCTATAGGTCTACGGCTAGAGCTCCTCTCGTGGTGTTTCAGAATGCGCAATAGAGTAGTAGGTATTCGTGCCCAAGCATCCAAGTGGAAGTGGTGGACTGTTTGTTTTTCACAATATTTTTCCCCTTCTCAGAACATTCCCCAGAACAACTGAATACTGTATGCGATTTCCAATCCTCCCGGGCCATTCTACGTTACAGGGCATTACCTAAGCGGGCAGGCATTCGACCAACACCGCCCCGCGCACCACGTCACCGGTCCTGGATATCAACTGTTTGCCAAAGAGCGGCACGTAGACGAGGCTCAAAATCTCGTCCCTTTGTTCGACTTGAACCCTTTCTACGCCCCAGCCAAGCTATCATTCCATCGGTTCCCATCCGTGAACAGCTACATTTGCCTTGAGCGTCCGCCTGCTTACGACCGGGAAACTTCTTGCCCAGTTGGTCGCATGTTGGAGGCTCACATATAGGCCTGATTCTTTTTCCTTTGCATGGATATGCGACCTTGAACCAACCTCACCCAATTACAGCGGCACCGGGCCGATATTCCCTCCCGTGATCCGGCCGTATTCCCAAAACACCCACCTGTGAACCTTCGATCACAACCGAGTCAAAATGGCAGCTATGTCGCCCCAACGCCCACAGGATAATCGGCGGGTCCGATTACTAGAGCTCGCTGCCTCCGTTGGTGTTACAGAACTACCGCCTCTCCCGCCACTCCCTCCGATTAAATTACCTAGCCCGAGCCCACAAGACGATTTGCAAGCAGAAGAGCTTCTCCGACAACGACGAGCAGCTGAGAACCCCGAAAGTTCACAAAGTACGCTAAAACGAGCGTTCTCATCAACCAAGAAGCCATGGGAAGCCAAGGAAATCTTCGACGTCCTCGACAACCATGTCGCCTCGGGGGGTTCGCCTGCTGTCGCAAACACGCTCATCAAAAAACTGCTCGAACTTGGGGGAAATCCGAACATCAAAGCTCCCAAAGTCAGCAGATCAGGTTCCCTTCTCTCCAGAAGAAAGAGCTTGGAGACTTTGGAACGCAGTCAGATATTGCAGAGGGCAATCCAGAACCGTCAACTGGATATGATTGCCATCCTGGCCCATTACGCGGACGATCTTACCCTCGGCACAGCATTGCCCGACGCAATACGCTCCAAAGATCTTAGAATACTTGGTTTACTTTTACAACGCGGCGCAAACTCTGCTCAGTCACAGAATGCCCAGATTGAATTTCGCCAACTGTGTATCGCTGGCGGTTATCCGGACCTTGTTGGTCTGATTCTCCAGTCTTCGGGCGGGTTTTCGTCGCAATGGCTCTCCCTATGTCTCATAGACGCCGCCCGAAAGGGATGTTTGCAGACAGTCTGGAGACTGAGCAGGTCAATCGCGGATGCCGACTTCGACACAGCCACGGCTCTCAGGACAGCGATAGCACAGAGCAGAGTTGATATTGCACTGGCCATCTTGACTGGAATACAGCCACCTACACCTGGAGGGGCGGGTCTGATGGAGAGCTTCAAACAGCTTCTCGACCAGTCCATTGGTCCCAATGAGAAGCTGTTCTTCACAGAAGCGCTCATTTGCGCCGGTGCCCCTGGCGATATGGTAGCCGTCGCCTTGCAACAAGCGTGCGAAGCCGAGAATATCGACATGGTTCATCTTTTGGTCGAAAATGGAGCTTCGGTCGAGTACCAGGATGCCAAGGTACTATGTGATACCATTGCAAAGGAAACTGCAATCTTCTTCAGCTACTGCTAAACGATCAAACGCGTTTGAATCATATCCTGGCCTCCCGGTGCGTTGGCGTGATTCCGACCACAATCAGTCCAGAAAACCGATATGCATTTCTCAACATTCTGTTGCGAAAAGGTGCCGGAGGCACTGCATTAGGCGATGCTCTCATTGCTGCTGTGAGGGCTGGAGACATGCAGTCAGTAGATCTATTACTTACGCCATACTTCCCCGAAGATACCGTTCCGGAAGGGAAGCCCCGAAAGGGCTCGCTTCAGATGAAGCACTCCCGGCATGAGGTGGCCTCCGTGGACCACTTGAATGGCATGGCTTTGAATAACGCGGCCATGATGGTGAACATAGATATGGTGAAGAAACTCCTAACAGGAAAGCCGTCCCCAACGACACTGGAACTGGTATTCCCACAGGTCAAGAAGCTGGCTGCGAACGAACGATATCTCATTACCGAGGCTTTCTTGGCCGCTGGACTTTCTGGACCCTGTCTATCCGTTGCTTTGACGGAGGCCATTGAAGAACAACACCCTAGACGAGACGATAGGTTTATTTCCCTTCTTTTACGCTACACTGAAGTCACCCACTCCGATAACGATTCTGGGATTTTGTCCTCCATTGCCGTGGGGGATGTGCCACTCTTACGCAAAATGCTCAAGAGACCACTCACAGCTCAAACGTCCGCGGCGGCTATGGTCAAAGCCATGGCGATCAATAATCAAGAAGTTCGGTACACAATCGTGGAGCTGTTGCTTCAGGCAGGCTCTGGTAGGGAAGGGGACGAAGTATCCGCGGCGCTGTCGCTGTTGCTAGCTACCCAGCCCCTTGATGTTCAGCTATTCTCTCTGCTTCTAAAGCTCAGTAATGTGGATGCCAACTTCAAAGACGGCGAGCCTGTCACTCTCGGTATGCTTGACTTAAACCCCCTTTTCTTATGAGTGATGATGTGTTTCTGACTGTTCGCAGCTGTCCGCGACCCTGATCCCGCCATCCTCGAGCTTGTTGTCCAGTACGGAAAGCCGACTCCTGAGACAGTGAATCGCGGCCTCGATGATCTCTCGAAAATGCCAACCACAGCTGCAAAGGCCGCCAAGATGTCTCTTCTCCTACGCCATAACAAACAAAAAGACCACCTGGATGTTCTTCTCTACAACGAGGTCCAGACCATCCTTCAAACACCGCTTGATACCCGCAACTATGATGTCGTCGGGACTCTTCTCTCAGCCGGTGCAGACATCAACGCCCACACCGCCGCCGCATTTTGCTGCGCCGTAAAGACCTCTAGCACACTACTGACAGACCTAATGCTGAGCTATAAGCCAACACCAGACTCCCTAGCAGCGGCCCTTCGGCATTCGCTTAACATACTGATCCCCAGTGACCGTCAAGACTTCACCCGCAAACTCGTCGAAGCCGGAGCCCCGGCTTCAGAAGTGAACAGGGCGCTGAACTACGCTTTACATGCGCACTCTTCCGACTACCAACTCATCGAAGTCTTATCAGCCTACGCCGACTCGACAGATGGCAAAGCGCTCGGTTTCGCGGTAGAGAAGCAGGATGCCCAAGCAGTGGAGTTGATCCTGGCCAAGTCCTCGCGAAAATATCCCGCGACGGTCCTCAACACCACTTTCACTCAAGGCGTCAAGCTCAAGGATCCCGAGATCTGCGCATCGCTGCTCAAAAGGGGTGTATCCGGCTCTGAAATATCTGACGCACTCATCGCAACGTCGTCCGACGGGAACCTACCGCTTGTGAATCTCTTGATGAGTCACGGCGCCAATCTCGAGCACCAAGAAGGCCAAGCGATAGTCGAAGCCTGCAAGAGCGCCGCCATCCCTGTCTTGGGCGCGCTTTTACACCCCACGGCTCAAGTCAAGAAACACACTTTGGTCAAAGGGTTCGAGGCAGCTAGCGTCAGCGTCACGGAGCTCAAGGACCGCACGGAGGTCTTTCGCATCCTTCTGGAAAGAGGAGTCGCCGGCGAGGCCGTGGACAGACAGCTCATTGCCGCAGGGACGTATGGCGACGAGGGCGAGCCTCTGGTGCGCTTGTTGCTTGCTTATGGGGCGGATCCTGACTTCAACTCTGGCGAAGCCATTTGGAACGCCACGAGGGGCGCAGCGCTGAAGAGTCTCAAGTTAATGTTGGGTGTCGAAAAGGCAAACGAGCGGCAGAAGAGGCCATCGCAAGATACCTTGCTCAAGTCGCTCAAGGCCAGCCGAAAATTGAGCCAGGAGGCAAGGTATCAAGTTACCGAATGGCTGTTTGCCGCAGGGCTGGAGCCATCGGAGGATGTGCATACTGCGTTGCATAGGGCTGTGAAGGAGGGCGAGCCTGATGTTCGCTTGATTAAGCTTTTGCTGTCGCACGGTGCTTCGCTGTTGATGAATGGGTGTGAGACGCTGATTGATGCGACTCAGTCATTTAGGGTTGATGTGCTGGAGGCTTTGTTGACGGTGGATATTCCTGGAAAGGATGTCTCGTGGACTTTTCAGCATGCCTTTACTCCAGAGACTGTTGAGACTTGGATGACGGAACAAGGCTTCCAGGTTGCGCAGATGTTGCTGGAGAAGATAGGCGCTGAGGTTGGTGGCGAGCCTTTGTTCCCGGCTTTGAATGTTGCTGTCGACCTATACGGGACTGAAAAAGATGCACTGGCGCGACAGTTCGCGACACTCCTGTTACAGCACGGGGCCAGCGTCACTTGTCAGGATGGGCTCGTACTGCAGAAGGCGGCTAAGACGGCGGATTCGGAACTCATACAGCTGATTCTGGATCAGGGTCCAGACTCTCACTCCGTTTCTATGGCTTTTCCTCATATCTTTGACGCAGATCTTTCAGAGGATGAGATTTTGTCATTGATTGAGTTTTTCATTTGCTACAATAACGAGGGAGAGAGGCTGGATGTGATGGTTCCAACTTCTCCGCCGATCCTACTCCGTGCGCTCGACAAGTATCCTCGGTCAGAGAAGCTGCTCCAGACGCTTCTGGATGCGGGTTACTACCACGATCAGCTCACTACCATGAGAGTCATGGAGGAAGGTGATGAAGAACAGGTGAATCTGCTACTCTGGGCATTGAGTCAACCTCAAAAGCGTATCAGCAGCACTCCCATAAGTCTCCTTATCGACAGAGGGGCAAAGGTCAATTTCGAGACACGAGTGTCGAAACAGACCCCGCTCATGCTGGCCATAAAACACCGACGACCAGACCTGGTCAAGGAACTTCTGCTCGCTGGTGCGGATATAGATGTTGCTGATGCTGGGGAAAACACTCCAATGTCACTAGCTACTGCGATCGGGGGTGAACTGAGCACAGAAATGATGAGGATGCTCCTGGCTGCTGGACCCTCTATGAACGACGGTTCCTTGCATAACGCCGCAAGGAAGCTCAACCTTGATGCCGTCATAATCCTGATTGAGAATGGACACGACCCCGACTTCCCCAGCATCATCCACGGCGGCCGTTCCGCGCTGGGAGAACTCTGCCTCAACGCCGCCGAAGCCGGGCCCCTTTCCTCCTCCCAAGAAAAGAAAATGGAAAAAGTCATCGCCGAACTAATCAAACAAGGCAGCGACCTCGCCGTCCCAGACAACGGCGGAAAATCCATCCTTCTCCTCGCCCTGCACTCCACCGACCCCCTCCCCATCACCCGCGCCCTCCTCAAAGCTGGCGTCTGGAAAACCATCAACAGCCCCGACCACCAATGGACCGACGGAACATACACCTACTCCCCCACGCAATACCTCCTCCGCATCCTGCCCCCAAACAGCCGCGACCGTTCCGCCCTCCTCGACCTCCTCAAGTCCTACCGCTGTCGAGACGTCTACTACGCCAACGACGGCCCGCAACCCGAGGGCGCCGTGAACCTGCCCCCCGAGCTCCTCCGTGCCGAACGCGAACGCCGCGCCCGCGCCGAGCGCATTGCCAAGGAGACGGAGGAACACCACATTGCCATCGCGCGCACCAAGGAGATTGCCACGATGCAAAACAAAATCTTCCAAGCGCGTGCCGAGCTCGAAGACTCGCGCATCCGCCGACAGCGGGACGAGGAAATAGAAGCCGTGCGCAGTCGACAGGCTGTCGAAGAGGAAGGGTTCGCGGCGGAACTCCAGCGCCGGAAAGCGGAGCGTGAAGCGAGCATGAAACATGAGCGCCAGTTGCTCGAGGCAGGCCTGACGCGCGCGAGGCTGGTGAGCGAGGCGGAGCTGGAGATGGAGGAGAGGAAGCAGGGACAGACTAAACAGTGGGAGCAGCAGAGGTTGCAGGCGGCGAAACAGCTGAGTGGGGTTAGGGTGCAGGAACGCAGGGAGATGGAGAGGATTGAGGCGGTTAGTGATGCGCGGATGGTGAAGCGGTTGGGGGAGCATAAGAAGTTGGTGGAAAGCCAGGAGAGGTTGGCGAGGAGTCTGAATGGGGCGGTGCCGAATGGTGCGAATGGGAGGAGGACGGTTGGGTACATCACTGGGGAGCTGGATTGATGTAACAGGGAGGTTCGAGGATTATGGTGGTGATGATGGTGATGGTATTTGTGGGATTGCGGTCATAATGTCGAGTTGTAAGGCATTCTTGGGGTGCGTTTATCTTGAGGGGACTTCCAGATTGGTCTGACATCTCGGGCATTGCTCCATATGCGTCGCAAAGAGTCGCAAATCCACATAAGCGTTTGGTGGTTCTTGATCACGGTATCTCGTCTGAAGTTTTGCCCCCATTTGTTTTCGTCTCTTGGCAGGAGCTTCTTTCAGAAAACGGTGAACTCTGTGGAACGTTTGGATTGAAGAATTGAGTCCACTTGGTACCTCCCCTCTAGAGGTAGGAAAATGAAGTGTTGGGATGTTGGGTTTTGCCGGTGAAGACGCTATCACTATTGAAACCACCCTGGTCTGGCTCACCTTCGAGTCAGCAGGGCTTTAGTGAAGTATCAACCGGCAAGTGCCACATGTTTTGCGAGATTTTGGGTTCACCTTGCTCACTCCCCTGGGTCGTCACTTCCCTTTTTGTCAGAAATGGTAGGTATCATGTCGCCCCAAAGATCCCAGAGATGAATGGACAATTGGAAGATGCGATGTGTTTCTGGCGCTAAAGGGTGTTATAGTGGGAAAGAGCACACGACCACCTCAAGAAGTGGAAAAAAATAAATTGACTCGGTACACCTGCCTCTGCGTGGTAAGACGTGGTCTTAAGAGAGCCTTTCTCCTTGCTCCCACCATGCCCCCAGCCATGCATTTTTTCGCTGCCTAAATGTACTTCTTCTGCTCAGGAGTTTCCTGTCTCACGCTACTTTCAACCTATCATCACCTTTCCCGTCGATACCAAGAATCCTCCTGGGTGGCCGTCCACCAGCGAGGCTTGCAACATCTACCAACTTGGTGGTGCTGCCTCGACAAGCACCACGACGTCTTCCGGACGAGAGTCGATACGCCTTTCATCTTGATATTCCGTATCGACTGTTGAGATGGTCGAGAACTCTTCCCGGGAAGTTATCTTCCTACCACTCCAGATGAATCACTCTTTGGACTTGCAAGTGGTGATGATCTCGGCTCATCTCATGAGATGAAAGGCTAGACAGCTGGAGATGTCAGGGAGCAAACAAATGTTGAGCATATGACGGAGACAAGTTCCACTTCCGCTTCTCTCGTTTCTGTCCCCGTCCCCATCATCGACGAGTATTTAAAGCTCGCCTCCCTCCTCTTAATTTTCCACTCCTTTTTCCCCTCTTGTCTTCTACCCTTAGATTCTTTTCTTCCGCTCTGATACTTCTGCCTTTTCATCACTTCTGGTCCCACTCTCAATTCATCATCATTCATCCTACTGGCAGATCATTGGTGGTATCTCTTCGAAGTAGCATCAAGTCCTCTGACCAAGAGTGACTTTCAGCTCAGCTCGGAGTTATCTTGAAGCCATTTCATGTCCAAAGGGTAATTGGTCAACCCTCTATCAGGATACTGGTGAAGATTGGACATGGGCACCTAGTTTCCCCCACTCACACCCTATTCCCAGCACGGTCACTCCTCTAATGTCTCACATCTCCTAGATCCTTCAAGCGCTTCACCTAGACTTCTGCTGTGGGCACAGCTACTGAGTGGCCATGGCTTGGGCCTTCGCCAAGGTATGCGTTTGCCCTTCGCCCCTATCGCTTCATATTCCAGCCGCTAACAGGAATAGTTTGGCAGGCATTCCACGGCTTCACAATCCCAAAGTCACTCTGTGTCTTCTCAGCCGTTCACATTTACCTTGGACCCTGACGTTCGCAGTGTTGTTGAGCGAGAACTGCCAAATATCTGGCCTTCACGGAAAGACGGTTTCCGAACATCACCTCCTCCGGCACTCTTCGAGTTTTCGTTGGTTCTTGAAAGCATGGAGCGACTTTCCGAGCCCCCAATTCCCAGTGGCTCCTCTGGCGTGCCAAAAATTAAGCCAGAGCGCTCGGAGCAGCCTGAGCAACGTGGACAGTCTGAACAACTTGAGAATCCGAACACGTCTGATGTTCCAAAAAGCACTCCAAGAGACGGAGTCAAACGGGCAGACAGCAAGGATGTCAAAGAGATCAAGAAAGAGGCTGAGCCAGATTCAACTGTCAGCTCGAGTGTTTCCGAGCATCGGAGTCACGGTAGAATCGAGATCAACCTAACCGGGGATGACGACTCTGATGATGATATTATGATCATTGAGGAATCCGATTTGTCAGAGGCAGCCAAGGACAGGCTCAAGCAGTGGAAGCCTTCTAAGCCTTCCAACGATGGAAGGTCTTCAGTCCGCCTAAGATATCAACCTGTTGTGAAAGCTGAGCAAGTTGAAGCGGGTTTCCAGAATGCAGAGCTTGAAAATCTGGAACAGGTTCAGCAAGTTGAGGGCATCGAGGAAGTCGAAATCATCGAACAAGTCCAACAGGTCGAACAGGTCGACGAGAACGAAGAGTCCGAATATAGCAGAATGGCAGATGGAGGGCGCCTTTTTGTCACGCCTGACCCTGATGCCGACTTTGAAGGCGATGAATACGAAGCACTCTCAGACGGTTCGGAACGGACCCAAAGTCCTCGCCGGAAAGGGGCAGGAAAACCACGCAAAACCGCTAAAGACGATCCATCTGCTCCAGCTCAGGAAGACTTGACTCTCGAGGGCAAAGATTCGGACGCGGACGGGGGGATGTCTGAAGCCGAGACAGACAGGACCCTACGGAACTTAAGGGCCAAAATTGAAATTTGCAAACTGGAGAAAGGAATCATTGAAAGTGAAAAGGACAGGCCTGGATTCAGCGGTCAACCTAAGCTCGACGAGTTTGAAGCAAAGATCGATGAGCTTCATGGGGAGATAAAAAAGGTTGAGAAGGAAAGGAAGATACGACAACGCAACAAACCGGCACCAGATGCACGCGAGTACTGGCGCAGGAGGTACGGCAAACAACCTCAATTCATCAAGCGTCTGAACAAGAAGCGTACCGCGGACTTAGCCACTAGTGTAGGGAAAGCAAGAAAGAGGCAAAAAGTCGGGCCTGGCTGAATGGTGGAGAGTTTTGCGAGGGAATCCCTGAAGATGACATCAAGGCCATGAAGAACATTGACCCAATCAAGGCTTTAGCAGAGATGGGCGAGATCCCAATGCCCGGTGCCATGGTGGCAAACGCAAAAGAGACGAAGACACGGTTCATGGAGCAACTCAAGTCGTTCAAGAAACTGAACCCCGAAGACGGAGACTTTAAGAACGACCACAAGGCACTGGAAGAAGCAACCAAATCCTTTGGTTTCAGGAAGTGCCTTCTCGACAAGGACACAAAGTCTAAGGGTAAACGGGTTAAAGCGGCGAGGTGGAAATTGGCGGGGCTGAAGACCTCGCTTTACAGCCATCAGGTAGTGGGTGCCTCTTTCTTGTCCGGTAGAGAATTGTCTCCCTTCGGGCCCTTCGGCGGAATGATGTGTGATGAGATGGGTTTGTTCCCCTGGCTGAAGATATACTCATGATGAACATGATGCTAACCTTCCATCGTTTACCCACTAGGACTGGGCAAGACTCTTGAAGTACTTGCATGCATGACAGCCAATCCTCCTACAGAGAAGGACATCACGGCAAAATGCAGAACGACGTTGATTGTTGTTCCCTCTAGTTCTCTGAACCAGTGGAAACGCGAGATCGCGAAACATACCTTCTTCAAGGAACCCCTTGTCTTCAAGGGATCTCATGCAAATGGTACACCACTCGAGATGATGAGCGATTGGGACATCATCCTCACTACTTACACGGAGGTCATGGCTGGATATCCATCCAAGAACGTAATTGAAACCATCAACCAGAAAGATCTTTCCGAAGACAAATGGAAAGAAGAAGTCCATAAAAATCTTAGCAAGCTCTTTAAGATTAACTTCTACCGTGTCGTACTAGACGAGGCACATTTAATCAGAAACGCCAAAGCGCAGACAAGCAAAGCGTGCTGCAATTTGAGCTCCAAGTATCGATGGGTTGTGACAGGAACACCTCTTCACAACGGAGTTCATGGTATTATCCCCCTTTTTCAGATCAGCTGCCGCTTGAAACATCACTGACATAGCGGCAGAAATGTATCCCTATTTCAAATTCATCGGTCTCCAATACTCTTCTACTCAGTTCTCTGAGTTTAAGAGTGTGTTCGGCGACGTTGGAAAGGTCAAAAATCTTACATACCCAGCACATCAAGCTGGTCCATTTGCTAACATCATAACAGGCTGATCACCAGGCGCGCCTTAACATGATTTTGGATGCTACCATGATACGAAGGTAAAGTGTTCCGTATCTTGTTTATTAGGAAGTGCCTGGCCTTGCGGATATTAACTAATCGTCTTGTTATCAACACAGGCAAGCCAATTCGGAGTTTTTAGGCCGTCCAATTCTGGACATCCCTAAGTGCTACCCAACAAAGGACATCTGGGTGTCTTTTTCGAAAGAGGAATCCATAATTTACACCCAGCTGGAAGCTATCTTCAGGGAGCATGTCAACAAAGAGCTTGCTCGATTGCCCCTGGACGACGACGAGGACCAAGAGCAGGGGCGCAGTGTGCCCTACTTGAAGCTATTCGCTTTCCTGAGCTATCTTCGGCAACTAACGGCACATGTCTTTGTAGCTGAGCGACTATTCGAGAACTACTGGTCACGCGAAGATATACAAGCTGTGCTTCCGCAGCTTGAGGAGATCCGCGAGACCGACCAGACTGAGTTTCTCGTAGAGCAACTTCAAGCTATCCATGACCGGAAGCCAGCTAACGACAACGATGATGAAGGGTTGAGGGGTGCCCCCGCCAGTCCCACTGAAGTTTTCAAGATGGCAAAAGTGCCATACATTGAAAAACTTCTCTTAAAGCTGGCGGACGCCAAAGGCGTCAACAGCTGCATCTGCAGAATATGCGGCCAGCTGCCAGAGTCTCCACACCTTTCGAAATGCGGCCATGCGTACTGCCTTTCCTGTTTCACAGAACGACTGGAGACAGAAATGCAGGGCAAGGGGAAAGAATCGATCAAGTGTCTGCAATGCGGAACAGATATCACGACGGTGCAGCTCATGGTGGACTCACCTGGAGGCTCACGGCAAAAGCGGACCGGCAGAAGGACGCTACAACCGGCGAAACCCAAAAGAGAGTACGGCGATGACGTGAACTTCATACAGCCCAGGGAAGGAGGCGAGAACAGCTTTTTGAAGGCATCAGACAAGTACGGCTACGTTATGGTCGAAAGCGCAAAAGTTGACGCCGTCATGAGCTGCGTTCTGAAGTGGCAGAAGTCACGTCCGAACGACAAGATCATAATCTTCACACAGTGGCGTGTTATGGGCAGCATCCTGGGCAGAAAACTCCAGGAAGAAGACATCCCATTCCTATACCACTTTGGAGATATGGCTCTTGAACAGAGGAACGAAGCCATTTATGACTTTGACGACAAACCCGAGATCAAAGTTCTTGTAAGCCGCACCAGCTCCTACATTCCAATACACCTCAAGCGCATGCTAACCACTACCTCCTCTCACTCCATTATATTTCGGGCCTACACTGCGGCGGAGTAGCTCTGAACTTGACGTGCGCCTCTCGAGTGATACTGGTTGATATCTAGTGGAACAGCCAGCTCGAACGACAGGCATTTGCTCGTGTTTATCGCATCGGCCAACTGAAGCGCACCCACATGGTTCGCATTCTGACAAAGTCATCCATCGATCTGAGACTGGACGCGATTCAGAAGCTCAAAGAAGAGATATGCGACAAGGCACTAAACGGCGACAAAACAGCCCGCCACAACCTGTCTTTTCACGAACTTGTCAGCCTCTTCGGCGTCGTCAACACAGATGCCCGGGGGCGTATGGAAGTTACAGAAGGTGGTGCTTCGAGAGCCGGTGATAATGACGGCGAGGACGATCATGGCATGAGTCAATTGGACAGCGACGAGGAGTACTCGTCTGATGAGAGCGAGGAGTGAAGGGAATCAAGGTACCGCAAGTCGTCGTCAGTTTTTCCAAGTATCCTTCAGTTCACAACGTGGATGTGGCTTTCTCATGCTTCACAAAGTTTTTCGTCTATCGCGGTATTTCCAGGCGTCAAAAATCGGTAAGGCATATTTTCATTCTCAGAAGACGAAGGGTTAGCGAGGCACATTTTGCGCTGGGAAGATTTCAGTGATAATTTTCTCGTTGGGTTTCCTTACACTTTCCACTGGTGCCTTATTCCTTGCTGTTTGCTGATGACATTTGCAAAACAGTTGGCATGCGGCATGCCACCATACAGGTTGCGAAAAGTTTTCAGGTCACAAGACCAGGCAGGATTCGGGCGTACAGGCACATAAGCGGATTTTTACACAGGAGTTCACTTGGCTTGAGATACCCCCGTTAGAGAGTTAATGAGTGCTTTTAGATATTTCATAAACAAATGGTTTCGCTGAATGATATTCCCAAGCCCGGGCGAACCAAGCCCGGGCGAAACAAACGCTTTTTACCATGACATTCAACACATCCCTACACCCTCCTGGCAACGAACAACTTTCTGGGAGACCACATCCCAGCAGCCGAGCTCCTCAGCTCGCCCAAAACTGCCACTCCAGCACTTCTCCCGGAAGCCATAACCCCTTCTTCCAAATTCTCATCCGTCCGGCTTTCGTCTCCAGACCTCCTATGGTCCTCCCCTTGCTGACCACCGCTCGCATCACCCGTCTTCCTCTCAATCTCGCAAATCTGCCAGCTTCTAAGCAACATGAGCAGAGCGGTACCCCCCAAAAATGTGCAACCGACAAATATCTGGCCCGGCATAAACTTGTTGACACCATCTCCGCCCTTGACAAGCTGCAGCGCAATGGCCTCTCCAAAGGTAGTAGGAATCACCAAAGCGAAGCAGATGGTCCCGAAAAGAGCGCTGCTCTCGGCCAGACTGACGGTTTCCGCCAGGATGGGGTTCACGGTGGCCCAGAAACAACCACCTCCGGCACCGGCGGCCAAGGCAAAGATGATCAGGCCGGCGTACGAGCGGGCGAGGATCCAAAGCGTTAGGCAGAGGATGGCGCAGCAGCAGCAGCAGAGGAGGGCGAGGTTGATGCGGCCGAAGCGGTCGCTTAGGGCGCTGTGGAAACGTCAGGTGGTCAGTGAACGTCTGGGAGAAAAATGATGAGTGGCCGACTTACCCTAGAATTGGGCGCCCAATACCCACCCCCAAGCTCAACATAGCGTTAACCACGGATCCTTGGCCTGGAGTGAGACCGATGCTGGTTGCATAACTCGGGAGAGAGTACCAGAGAGAGATGTAGCCAAACTCGGTTACAAAACCCCATAGGAGAATAAGGAGTACTTGGGTCCTGCCAAAGTCACGGATGTTGAACGATCGGCGTTTCGACGACCCTGTGGAATGAGAGACAATGGGCCGCTCGCGGCAGAGGAAGGCGCAAAGGATGTTGAAAGCGACGGAAACAAGTGCAAGGATTCGCCAAGTCCATTTCAGCCCAGAAACCTCGAGGAGTTTGCCTGTAATGAGGTTCCAGGCGATGCCACCGCCTGCTCCGGCCGTTGCGAGGCCGAGAGCCAGGCTTCGATGGCGGGAGAACCATGGTGGGAGGAGGCCCATAGCCTGTATTTTTCCTGATGGTAAGTGATCCAAACGTCAAATATTGGGGGAAAATAATCTTGGACTCACCGGGATATATAGCAACCCAAACCCAAACCCCATGCAAAGCCCCACTGACATAAAGAGATGCCACACCCTACTCGCTGCGCTCGCAGAGAACAGTCCCCCAAAGATCAACAACGACCCCATCACCATCGTGTACCGTGTCCCGATCGTCCTCTGAAGAGCACTAATAATCGGCCCCAAGATCAAAGCCAGCGAGATGGACAAGCCTCCGATCAACGCGTACTCGAATTGACTCGCCTCGGGGAAGGTGTTCTCACGGATATACTGCTCCATGAAAATTCCCCAGGCACTGTTGATGCCCCAGGTGTTGACGTTGATGAGGAACACTGCCAAGGTGACCACCCATCCGTAGCCGCCGTCTGGCGGGACGTCTTCTACCAGGGCGATGGTGGCTGGGTCGATGTCATCGGGTGGAGGCGTGCCGCCGGCTGCTCGAAGGGTTTCGGGGTCTGATTCTTGGCCAGCGAAAGCCGCATGGTGGCTACGGTTTGCGAGCTCGATGGCGTTTGGGTCGAGATTTGGAGATTGTTGTCGTGAGTGGGTGTCGAAGAGGGCGGACATTGTGTGATTTACGTACGGGTGTTGAACGTCCGTTTGAAAAGAAGAAAACCGAGCAAGCCCGTGAGACAATAATGGGTTTTACATCCTCAAAGAACAGGTAGATATGAGTCGTCTTTGATACCTCACTTATATGTAAGTCGCTCCCAACATGGACTGACCCTGGATGGGCCTGGGCAGGTCCAGATTCAATCACCTTAGTGACGGATAGCAAAAATCCTCGAAAGAACTCCACACACCGCTGCTGCTTTCCGAGAACGGAGGGAAAGAACTACCGTGTAGAGTATTGTTTTTTGAGAACCTAGAAGGTAGCTCTTTCCTATGTGTAAATACTGTGGGAATCACGGAAGTCAAGACCGCAGGTAGCCGCGAAGTTCATCGATTTGATTTTTGACGATGGCCGGTGGTGGGTTGAAGACTGAGAGTTGGACCGTTTATTTCCATCGTGGATCCATTATCATGACGATAACGAGTCAAGGATTTCTTCCAGAACAGGCATAATGCATTGGGGCCATTAAGAGGCCGGCTCTTATTGGACCATATAGAAAGATGTAGACTGCGATGTACTCCGATTGGTCCTACCCCTCCCTTTTGTGTTGGCAACGTAAACAACCCCTGAAAGGATGTTGGTCGGCATTTGTGATGTTGGGTCACCAATGTAGAACGGTTCAGATACCAACTGCTCGAAAGTATAACAAGTGATAACAAAGGGCAAATCAACTCCATGATGCCGCTTCTTGGAAACATGATATGATCTTCTTTATTTCCTCCTGACTTGCGTGACCCTTCATGCTCCTCATAATCCGCGGCGCCGTCCACAAGATTTGCGAACTCCATTCCTGACAATTCCCAAACCATCCAAAAACTACACACTCGACCCCTTAAAGAACCTCAGACCTAACACACTTGATCCTCTTATAAGCCAGAGTATCGATATTGACGCACTTCTCCGGCAACCTTCCGAGTCTCTCGCCCTTGCAGTCGCCTCCGTTTCCAGTCTTGTCCGAGTAGCCGAACCAGCCCTTGGGGATGCCCTCGAGCGTGCGACCGTCGGTGAGGTAGACCGACTTGGTGGTGTCGTCCATGGTGACGTCCTTGAGGAAGAAGGAGTTGTGGCCGTAGTTTTGGTTGGAGCTGTTGCGTTGAGTTAGTGAGGGTTCCCGGGAAGGACGTAATATAGGTAAGGAAGGTACTCACCAGTCCGAGTTCTTGTACTCGTTTGCCTTGGGCCTGGTGTAGGCGAGAGCAGTGGTGGCAAGAGCGAGGATGGTGGTGAACTTCATTTTTGCGGTTGCTTGGAAGGATTTGTCTTTGAGTTGTTGAGTAGATGGGACAAGTGTCTTGAGTTTGTGTCTTGAAGTCTTGAAGTGCTTGCTATTGGAGATGATGATGAGAACGAAACTGCTCTCAACGCAAGACGACAGGCGGTTTATATAAACTTTTCGTCCCTTCTGTCCGACACAACATCACGTATGCCTAGGAGTAGGCGCACATCGTCATGTTCCACCTTAGTGCTTACCATCACAGACCCCGACGGACATTTCGTGATGCCTGGACATGATCGTCAAGCCGAAGGATTTGCTTCACCGTACCACGAAGATGGTCTCAGGTGATATCACAACCTCGAGCCTCGACGACCAGGTGGTTGAACGGCTTTCGCGCTGGGATGAGCAGCCTTTTCTGTCTGCCTAGTCTGGACAGACGCTCAATTGGGCCGAATTTAGTCGACAAGATCCACTCATAGGGCGGTGTTGACGATCACACAGCAAAAGTGATGCTCTTCAATTTCCTAAACGGGCTAATTAGTCTGGGCATTATGGTGGATTCCACTGATCGACACTCTTCGGGTAAGGTGAAGCTGAGAAAGGATTCAGTACCATGGACCTATGGCAAGAAAAGATTTACTCGGCGTTTTGTTTGTGGTCCTTCATCGGACTTTCAAGTGATGAGCCTCATCGTGTCACTGTCGGTGCTTCGTGCACCTGTGCATATGTAGGACTGGAAGCGCTGGAGTACAGGCGGAAGAAGAGAACGGAAAGCGGGTGGCATGTTGGGACTGGGTTAGTGTGTTTTCTTGATATCATCGAATGTGGTGCATAGTAAACATATGTGATGTAATGTTGTAAAGGGGGAAAATTGAAACCGGGAACGAGTGTAGTTGGGGTTAGGAGACAGATGAATCAGAAGAGTTGACGCTGAACGAACAGCCTGATTACCCCTGAGCAGGGTTAGGGTCTATTGGGCCCCTTCAGCCAAGGATGGGATGCCAGGGACGACAGTTTGCCTGCCTAATGCGCATGCATGCAACTTATGACGGGAAAAAGCATTTGACATAAAAACTTGACGCCATGTGGGAACCAGCCTTCATGAGTAGTATCAAGAGTTTTTATACATTATGTACTCCCAATCTACATGCTAACATCTAATAAATCTTTGCAATCTCTTTAGTGGTCATGTCCATCATCCTCGGCCCTCTGTTCAGGGTCGAGTTTGATGAGGGTATCAATACGCATGATGCTGATGCATGCTTCCACCGCACTCTTGAGCTGTGTGATCTTGCTCATGCTAGGCTCCAGAACGCCGGCCTTGATCATATCCACGACCTTGCCCTTCATCAGGTCAAGACCGTAGTTCTTGTATGCCTTCTTACGGGCAATGATCTTCTCGTCCTCGTTCGCCTCACCCTCCATGATGCGCTGCGACAGAGCGTGCCTTGATCGTAGTTGGGCGACAAGCTCGGAGGCATCCTTGGCGGCGTTGACGGCCAAGGTCTTGGGAATAACGAGTAGCGACTGAGCAAACTCACCAATGGCGAGCTGCTCCCTGGAGCCGACGGTACCGGCGTACTCCTCCAGGTAAATGTGCAGAGCCGTCTCGACCGCACCACCACCAGGCACAATGCTGCCGCTCTCCAGGGTACGCTTAACAGCGCACAAGCTGTCGTGAACCGAGCGCTCCATCTCGTCGAGGGTGAAGTCGTTGGGGCCACGGAGGATGACCGAAGCCGAGGAATGAACCTTGGTGCCCTTGATCAAGATGCACTCGTCGTCGGAAATGCGCTCCTGGACAACCTCCTCGGCGTGACCGAGATAAGAGGGCTCGAACTTCTCGTCGCCGTTGAGGTCGGAAAGAGTGCTGAGGAGGGTGGCGCCAGTGGCACGGGCGATACGGCGAAGATCCTCCTTCTTGCAGCGGCGCACAGCCATGGCGCCCTTCTCGACGAAAAGCTTGAGAACCATGTCATCGATACCCTTTGTCGTCAAGATGACGTTAGCGCCCGCATTGAGAATCATCTCGACGCGCTCAATGATCATGCCGGATTCACGCGCGCGGATGGCCTCGAGCTGCTGGGGATCATCGACTGTGATCTGAACACCAAGCTTCATCCTCTCCTTCTGAAGGTTGATATCCAAGCAAGCAATCTTGGCGTTTGTTACACGGGTGTTCATGGCCTGGGAAGCGACAGTGCAGTTGAGGGCGTAGCCCTTGACGAGAACCGATTCGAGAACGCCCTTGCCGTGGGCCTTGAGGATGTTGACGGCCTTGACGGGGTACTTGGTCTCGTTCTTGTTGTTGGTGGTCTTGACGGCCTGGATGGCGTCAACGACCATGTTGGCGAAGAAGTCGGAGTCGGCGCCGATGATCTTGCTGGACATGGAGGTCTTGGCGATGCTGAGGAGGGACTCGCGACCAAGGTTCTCGACCTTGACGCTGATGTGCTCTTTCATGTACTTGACCGCCTCTCTGAGGGCCAGGCGGTAGCCGGTGATGATGGTTGTGGGGTGTATCCGGTTCTTCATCAACTCATTTCCTCTCCTGAGCAGCTCGGCCGCGATCAGGACGACTGATGTTGTGCCATCGCCAACCTCCTTATCTTGTTGGTGCGCAAGGTCGACGAGGATCTTGCCGGCGGGGTGCTCAACGTCGAGCAAGCTGAGGATAGTAGCGCCATCGTTTGTAACAGTAACATCCTGTGCGCAAAGGGTGTTTGTTAGGCATGGCGGGGTTGATTCAACTTTTGGCGATAGGGGCGGGGAGAAGGCAACTTACACCAATGTCGTCGACCATCATCTTGTCGAGACCGCTGGGACCGAAGGAGCTCTTGACGACATTTGCGATGGCTTGTGTGGCGAGGACTATACACGACCATCATGAGTTAGCGACCAAAACTTGACGCCATCCTAAACACTCCTTGTTGATGGTGGGATCCGTAGCTGGAGACTCAGGGGGCAGGGGGAGACTTGCCATTCTGGTCTCTGATATCAGCACCGGAAATCTTTTGGCCACCGAGGAAAAGGGTGCCGCTGCCCGACTGGGCGAACATGGAAGCCATGGTTGAATGTGTATGGAATGCGAGTGGAATGCGGTCGTCGTCGTCGTCGTCGTCGTCGAGGGGCGGAGGGGGGAAACAGACGATCGAAAAGTTGGGTTTAGGTCAGGAAGATAGGTGGGTAGGTTTGTTGTACAACGGTCAACGGTCAACTGTGCAAAGGCGGGACGGAAGCTCCAGCAGCAACAGCACGCCAAATGTGGAATCCAAGCAATCTCGATTCTCAGAGCTTCGCCCGACCGCTCTCAGTTCTGAACTTCAGGCGCTGTGGCAGGCAAGCGGAGTCCACAGGCGGGCAGCTTCAGCACGTCCCCGTTCCTGCCCCACCGCCCGCATTGCGCTGGGATCGAAAATGTTATCAGCAGACCCTGATAAGAAAACCAGCTGTTGATAGCTGCCTTCAGGGTCCTTATCGTGCCCGCCAGCTGTTAACCTCCCTCGCCGACGTGACTCCAGCTCCAAAGCAATCCAGACCCCGGAAACCCCACCACACGCCAAGTGCCCCTCGAGGGGGATCGTTTGACAGGGAGCGGCATTGCTGGCGCGTGCTGCGGGTTCCGTCGCAAGTCTCGAATGCGGGGCATCTCCAAAACTGTGTGCGCTGAATGTGAAGCCCGTCTCCCGCGTTGTGTGCCTGAAGAGAGTCTGTGCCCGTTGCGCAGTGCTGTTCTCCGTCCGAGTCTCGTCCAGTGTTCGGCGCATCTTCATCCTTATTCCCAGACACCATCTAAGCCAGCCAGTCCCCCCCGAGTTGACTCAGTTGCCGCCGGTGAGTCAGTTTCCGTTGGGCACCCATATATACTACATATAGCGAACCGTTGCGAGTTTGCGATCCGTTGCGACCCGTTCCTCTTCCCAATCTGCCGCCAATTCCACCTACGCGAACACACAGAACCCCCGACCGAGACTAATACCCGTCGTTTTGCGCAGCAATGGAGGAGAACAAGGAACAGTCCAAGAGCGCCTTGAAGAAGGCCGAGAAGGCCGCCCAGATGGCTGCTAAGAAGGCTGAGAAGGCGGCCAAGCAAGCCACCCTCCCCGTCGTCGGCGGCAAGAAGGCGGACGACATCATCGGCATCACGGTCAAGAAGAACGAGAACTTCTCGCAATGGTACCAGGAGGTCGTCCTCAAGGCCGAGCTGATTGAGTACTACACCGAGATCTCGGGCTTCTTCATCATGCGCCCCGCCACCATGTACATCTGGAACGTTATCCGCAAGTGGTTCCAGGAGCACATCGACGAGCTCGGCGTTGAGGAGACCAATTTCCCCATGTTCTTGTCGCAGAAGTCGCTCGAGAAGGAGAAGGAGCACGTTGAGGGTTTCGCCCCCGAGCTCGCTTGGGTTACCAAGGCTGGTGACAAGGACCTCGAGGTTCCCGTGGCTGTCCGCCCTACCTCCGAGGCTGTCATGTACCCCTGTAAGTCCTGAGGTCCTGACCTACGTCGTGATCTACCCGTTGTGTTGACCGCAGGAACATCAGACTACGCCAAGTGGATTCGCAGCCATCGCGACCTTCCCTTCCGTCTGAACCAGTGGAACTCGGTCGTCCGTTGGGAGGCCAAGCAGACCACTCCTTTCCTCCGTGCCCGGGAGTTCATGTGGCAGGAGGGTCACACCGCCCACCTTACCGAGCAGGCCGCCGGCGAGGAGGTTCTCCCAGATTCTCGAGTTCTACGCTGGTCGTCTACGAGCAGCTCCTCGCCGTCCCCGTCGTCCGTGGTCGCAAGACCGAGGCCGAGAAGTTCGCCGGTGGTTACTACACCACCACCGTCGAGGGCTACATTCCTTCCAACGGCCGTGGTATCCAGGGTGCCACCTCTCACTGCCTGGGCCAGAACTTCTCCAAGATGTTCGACATCACCGTCGAGGATCCCGCCGAGAAGGGCAAGCACATCCACGTCTGGCAGAACTCGTGGGGTCTGTCCACCCGTGTCATCGGTGTCATGGTCATGATCCACGGTGACGACAAGGGTCTCGTCCTCCCTCCTCGTATCGCCAAGATCCAGTCCATCCTCATCCCCGTCGGCCTCACCGCCAAGATGTCGGCCGAGGAGAAGGACGCGCACATGAAGAAGGTTGACGAGCTCCTCGCCACCCTCAAGAAGGCCGGCGTCCGCACCGACGTCGACACTCGTGAGGGCTACACTCCCGCCTGGAAGTTCAACGACTGGGAGCTCAAGGGTGTTCCCCTCCGCATCGAGTTCGGTCCCAAGGACGCCGCCAAGGACGTCATCTCGTACGCCCGCCGCGACACCGGCGAGAAGGGCACCATCCCCATCGCCGAGCTCACCACCAAGGTCCCCGAGCTCCTCGAGACCATCCAGCAGGACATGTACAACAAGGCCGAGGCTTCGTTCCGCGAGCACCGCCTCAAGATCGAGAAGTGGGAGGACGTCGTCCCCGCTCTCGACGCCAAGAACGTCGTTCTCATCCCTCACTGCCTTGTCCCCGACTGCGAGGACAAGATCAAGGAGCTCACCACTGGCCGCTCTGACGAGGCTGCTGAGGGCCCCGAGTCCCAGAAGGCTCCCTCTATGGGCATGAAGTCCCTCTGCATTCCCTTTGAGCAGCCCAAGGGTCTGGTCAAGGGCGAGACCAAGTGCTTGAACCCTGAGTGCTCCCGTCTTGCTGAGCAGTGGTGCATGTTCGGCCGCTCTTACTAAGTTTTTCGGTTTGTTGAAATAAATGGAAAAGTTACCCGGAGAGAGGCCATGTTGATGTTTATCATGAAAGCTTTTTGATGAAAAATATGCAGGCAGGCAGCACTTGGAGTTTTTGTTGTGGATCTCAAAAAGAAAGCGTAGGCGCCGCGGATATTATTTGTTTGCCATATTTTATTCTTTAGGGCCATTTGCGCGAGCATTAAAAAAAAAGAGAAAAGTTCATGAACTGTTGGGAGATACTTGAAGTGTGAATCGCGCATGGTTATCATTTTTCCCAGGACAAAATGTCACCACATCGTGCTGCGAAGGAAGAGAGATATTCCTAGACCCTAACCCTGACACACTGTCCTTTCCCCCTTTTTTCCGGAAGTTGCCAACTTTTGCCCATTAACCCAAAAAGCCATTCGAAGTACGGGTATCACGTTGAACCAGAACTTGAAGTAATGTAAGAGAGTCATAAGAGCCATAAACCTAACAGATAATGAGACCAAAAAAAAAAAAAAAAAAATTTACCACGAAACCGACGCCTCCTCATTCTTATTCCTCGCCAAACTCTTCTTCTTGGCCATCCTCATCGTCTCCTGCTCCAGCTCATGCGCCAATCGCACTCGCCCGCAAACTCGCACATCTGGCACTTGTACGACTCCTCCACGGGCACACCCCTCGGGTCCCTTTCGCCCTTCCACCACTGCAGGTCGTCCTGCAGGTACATATCGAGCGTTTCCGGCTCGACCCAGAACGTATTGACGCAGATGACGGATCCGTTTTCCGGGTCTTCTATTTCTTCGTATTGGTTTTCTTCGTTCACAATGCGAACAGGATCCAGAGCCCGGTACCGGAACTCCACGGCTACGATCTGCCCCAGAGAAGCGCCGCCGCGGGGGAAGGTGAGTTGGAGCTCGATTTTCAGGAGGGAGACGAGGTCTCGGAGGGTGCGGTATTTGAGTGAGTCAAAGGCGTGTGAAGAGACCGTGGATTCTAGGTCGTCATTGTCGACGTCGTGTGAGACCCCCGCTTCAGGGGCTTCCGACTCGGAGGTGGTGGATGCGGCGCTGACGTAGTCAGGTTGTGAGGTGGTATCGGAAAAGAGTTCTTCGTGGAGAGCGCCCATCTGCGCCATAAAGGCGTCAGAGAAGGGTTCATCGGGGTCGATGCCGTAGCGTTCAAAGACGCGCCAGTAGTTGAGTTTGCCAGATGCCATGTCGGAGAGGAAGCGATGATAGAGGAACAGCTGGATGATGGTGACGCGCATGGCGGCTTTGGTAGGTGGTTTCTTGGATCCTCTCGTCTTGACGTCCGTGATGAAGATCTCGCGCTTGTCGGCGACTTCGGGCGGGAAGAAATCCGTGATTTCGGCCTGCTGTTGGGAGAGTTGCTTGTCGGTGACTTGGCTTGACCGACTGCTGAGGACTTCCTCCTCGAGGGTTGGGTCCGGGTTCTCGTAGCTCAGCCCGTCGATGACGCCGTTGACGACGAGGCCGTCGTCGAGGATGCCCCATACCTCCAGCTCGCGGGTCAAGCCGGTGTCGCGCAGAGTGCGTAGACCTGTGATGATGTTCCAGATCTTGAGGCCGAAGTTGTCCTCGGGTTTGGTGATCTCGACGGAGACTGGGGTGTAGATCTCACGCTCTAGTTTCTCGTGGATCGCAGTGCCCCCCTTCATGGCCTGTGTTTGCGTCCTCTTCCCGCCTGGGAGCTTACTTAAAACATAGTAGTATTGCAGCTCACACCAGGCGCCGGACGTGAGATCAGTAACGGAAAAGGGCTTCTTGGGGAATGTTCGGAAACGAAGGATGGGCGACCGGGTGTCCTCGATCACCAGGTTCTTTTCCAGGGTTGATCGTTTCGGTCGGCCTCTCTTCCTAGGGGTTCCAGCCTGGCTAGCAGGCGTGTTGGATGGGGACCCAGAAGGCTCATCATGTGGTTGCAATCCTGACAGCGCACTGCTTACTAGACGCTCAACAGGTTTGTTAGCGGAAGAGCGTTTGATACAAGCAAGGTACCACGAGCAGCTAGCTTACAATCCGGGTAGCGTACGTCCGAGTCAACGGGTGCCTTGGAATCGGCGACAAACGTGGCAAGCCGAGGGTTGTCGTTGCGGACAGAAGGTGCGAGGCGTGACTTGCTATCTGATGACGAAGCATTGAAAAACGGGATGACACGCGCGCTCTCGTCGGGATCTGGCTTGACGGCGATGTGACGGTGGACTGCGTTATCGATCTCGGAGTGGATGTCGAAGGATGGGGCAGAGAGCTCGTCCTCGGCCAAGAAGTTGTCGTAGGCAGGATCAGCAGCGACTATTGTGGTAGTAGAGTGCTTTAAGGAGGAGCGAGGAGGAGCGCAAGAGTGGGGGAAAGGAGTCGCATTGGTTTGGGGCAAAGCGCGTCCTCCAGTTGCCGGACGGGATGTTGGTGGTGCTGGTGGTGTTGGTGGCGAGATGGAGTCGATGAGAGCGGAGATTTCCTCCTCCTCCTCGGCCGTCAAGTTGTATCCATAGGAACTGACATCTGTGTCGCTGTCGCTGTAGTATCTGGGCGCAGGCCTCGCCATACTCTCAAGGGCATCTATTGCATCTTTACCAAAAAGCAATTTGAAGCAAATCACACAAAAATATTACGGGGTTCTCAGTAGTCTAAGTAGGACAATCGGGACGGGATGCTTTTCAAGGTGATGCCCAAACAGTACGTCATTCGTTTGAAGGCCCAGTGTGCTCGCCGATTTGCTCGCCGGGCGCGACTTGCCCCGCCTTTCCAGCATTCTGTGTCACGAACTCGCGCCAATTACCGGCCGGAACCAGGCACGAGCTCACGTGATGGGCTGTTAACACGGTACCTACCAACAGCACACATTGAGAAGAATGTCAGTTTGAACCAACCACACATCCCGGCATTCCCCCGTCTTTTTGTCCAACCATTACACGTATACCTTGTTGGGCCTCATCCATTTGTTCATCCTTGTTCCCATCATGAACGACCTCTTAATACGGTCATCGGCAATCACTCCCCGACTTCTTCGTTTTGTTTCCTGACGTTCGTGTGTCTTTACTTCTCGGTCAACTGTCGTCAGCTTTTTTTTTTACTTGTCAGGCTCCTATTCCTTTCATTCTGAGCGTCTCGTATTCTGCCTCTCCGCTAGTGGCGATTGGTGATTATTTCTGTTGCCTGTTGTCGGAGTTTGTCGGTCAATTCAGCCTCCAGGGGCAACGCCGCGTTTCCAAGTCACATCCAGCTTCTCGTTAACCAATCCCTCGCTTGGCAAGAGCCTTGCGATTCTCGGTTGCCTTCCAAAAGTTACGAATGATCCTCTTCACTTCCCGGAGACACAGGGGTAGCATGCTGGGCTTCAGTATCTCTCCCGCGTGGTGTTCAACAGCCAGGCTCCAGCTTTTTCTGATCTTCATTCATACCACTTATCTGCTACAATTGACGCATCATCCTATGGTCCATCCGGCGATCTGATTCGTTTCCACCGATATCTTCAGCAGGGTGTCCTATAATTCTGGTTTTCGAGGAATTGTTGGGCCTGCAGCCTTACTTTATCGGCGTTGTTGAAGCGCATCTTCAAATACACACAATCTCCCGTTCTGTGTTTCAACATCGACGCACACTTGTTTGACCTCCATAACACTCCCACATCCGTTCTGCCTCAACCTTTTTTCTCTTACTGTTTTCATCGAATACCTTCCGTCTACTACATTCCAGGGAGATTACCATGGCATCACTTACTCGTCGACACAAGTCCGGACCCGCACCTCCGTGTCTGGCTCCACAAATCCCGGACTTTGACCCACTCATCCCAACGTCGTCCGATGGTCAGCCGGCTTCGAGTACGGGGCTTCTCACAAAATCATCCCAACACACAGGCCTGGCAGGTAAACCATATACAGAAGTCCATTCTGACTTGGCCTATTACACTGCGCCGAAGCCATCATTTATGGACCTGCCGGCCGAAATCCATCTCCTCATTACCGAACAACTCATTTATCCCGATGCACTATCCATGAAACACGTCAACAGATATTTCTACAATCTTGTCGATACCGGTGTGCGTAAGAAAGTCGAGTGGCTCTGCCAGTGTCGTAAACTACACCTGGGATGCCCTAACGACAGGCGTTGCGACCTTGGTAGTGACGTGAGGTTTTGCCGAGGCAGCGTCAAGTGGGTTGATTTCTCCTTCTAGTCTAGTTTACCATAATCCTGCCCATACCCTTCTTCAGCTTCCTTATTGCCACTGGATAAGCGCTGACTCACTGTATTCCTAGACTTCTTATGCAGCGTTGGAGAGAACACAATGAATGTGAAGCTCGTCCCGGCCTTGGTTGTCTGGTATACAGCACTTCCACGTGCACGCATCGGAGAAAGCTAAGAACCAGAGTGAAGAGGTGGATGCGACTAAAGCTCACAATCGACCTACCGCTCCTGATCTTGGCCTTGTTGGTCGTGCTTGGGGCCTGGTGGGCTGTACCATTGCTCTGTTGATATGTGGAGCACTGGTTGCTCATGAAAGGACGTCTACAAAGCGCTGGTTGCTACAAGGGACGCTGCACCAAAAAATGACAGCATGTTCACAAACTTATGACTTTGGGTGTGCATTATAGGGTACATTCGACCTGTGAGCGGCGTTTTCATGCTGGATATTTTCGCCAACTTTTCCGTGCCATATGTTTATGTTACTAATAATTCTGCCGAACGGCCAAAGATACTGAACGTTATCACTTGTTCAGATTCCATCGAGAAGGAAGACAAGCTTTCCATTTGGAATACTCTACCCCGTGTTCCTCGTCAATATCTCGTGTGAGTTTACACTTGCGCTCAATGCTTGCAGATTCTATAACGACAAAAGTAATCAATGTTCAAGCAAGCAAACAAAGGATGGCCCCGGCATTCCAGCCACACCAAGCGGTAGCAGCTTTGTCAGCAGCATTCCAGTTCCTTGCTCTACGATAATGGCCTAGAATCAACACGACTCTTTACTGCAACACTGCTACAGTTTTTGTAGGATGCCTCACTATCCTCGACTAGACTATTGGAGTCGGTCAGATGATATTCCCCTATCCGAATTGATGTCTGGCAGTTACGCCCAGCCAAATGCTGGCTGCCTCGTTGAAACTCTGGACCCACATGCACTGTACTCTTTCTATCAATATCATTCACACACTTCAACCACCTGATTGAACACTCAGGTTTCCAGCCAGCGGGAATACCTTCCTATCCCGTGAAATCATACCTTTATGCACCACTTCACGGATACTCCTAAACCTTGTGGCGAAAGATAATGGCGAATCTAAAGGTTAAACGGATACACCACCTGGTTGTTAAGGGATCTGAACCTATTCACTAAGGACTCAGGTTCTTTTTCTCTTTTTTTTTCTGAACTACTAATACCTAACCCTTTGCCCTCTCAACCCGGATATTTTCTTTTTGCACATTCCTTGTTGTCGAGCATTCCGGTTATCTCAACAGACAGCCACTTCGCTTTGCAACTTCAGCACCGTTTAGCCATTGGTCAAAGACTCTTCAAGATGTCTCTACCTATGGCTAGACTCGCCTCGAGTCCAACCTCGCCCAACAATTCTTCTCTGCGCACTCCTATTATACAGAATGGCGTCGAGAACAATGTCGTCGTTTCTACTCCGAGCCAAGGCACTGGTCAGAATCAGCAACCCTCGACTTCCAGCAATGCTCAGGAAACCTTCGACCCGACAGCTCCGTGGCCAGCCCTGACCCTTCTGCGGCGCCTTTGGGTGTTCAAGATGACATGGCTCCCAATACTGAGCAAAACATCCCGGCCCCTGCC